TTTCTACAAATCTCATGTTGAGGAAAAGTCGAAATTTAACATTTTTATGAATCTGTTTCACAGGACTGTTCCGCTGTATTTGTTTGCTCCGATGGACGAGCAACCGGTGGTACATTTAACGGAATACGGTGATTCGGGTGTGGTTTCTTCAACGCAGTCGACTATTGATCCACGCTCTGCCTCAACTCTGTCACGATAAGAGAAAGTCTTGTTTAGAATTGAACTGGTTTAAATGAATTAAAATATATTACTGCTGCTTCCGACTAATGCCAAAAGCTTTTATGGTTTTTTTCAAAAAAATTGTTCCTCGTATTGCATTATGTGATATTTGATGTGTTCAGTAGAGTGAAAGTCATTCCTTCTCCAGTTTTAGTCTCCCTACAGGTTCGTCAACTCAGCTAATTCTATTCATCGCTATAATTTTAGCTCTTTCTGAGAAATTTAATTAAATGTTGATTTAATAACTGTTGAAGATTTATTTTCACCATTCACCTTGTTCTATGGTTCGGGTGTGGTTTCTTCAACCCTGTCGAATACTGACTGATCCGTGCTCTGTCTCAACTCATTTACGATAGTAATGTACCCACTACTAATAAATTCCGGGAATTTTTGATTTAGATAACGCCTTATTTGTTTTTTCAAGCGTTCTTTTCCGTCTCTCGTATCCTCAGTTGTTCCGATTCATTTTATTTTGCCAATTTCACTTTGTAAAACTTTACATATTTTTATAATCTCGCGTACTCCTGTCTCGCATGTGTGCAATAACAGTAATACCTTCTTTGTCTTCCCCAATAAGCAGGAACAGTGACAGCTTTCAATTCTCGGTCCTATTCTATCAGCAAATCTATCTCTAATAATTTTCAAACTAAATCTAATGTAATCTAGGTTTCCAACAACTTCCCAGGCTCTGTCCAATATCTATGTGATAGACCCGGTTGAGAGGTCATGAAGGGCATTTGAAAATGGATGAGACTACCCTTTCGAAGACAGTATGGGTCAGTGAGAATGAAACAGACCTGAAATGTTGATGTCCAGAATGAAGCAAGGAAGAGATTCATAGAAGAAATAAAAATATCTTGCAATATTTCTCGATTTCAATATTCAAAAATTGGACAGTTCATTTGAAAATGCAACCGAGAACATATACGAAGGGAAAGGATGAAATGTGAAGAATGACACGGTGAAAGATTGCCGGAGCTATTGTTTCATCGCACCATTGCCTCTGGTACCACGGGGAATGACGCTGATGTTGAGAAGGCTGTCTTTTTGGGGTTCTCCTCACTACGACAGCTCTTCAATTCTTCTTCCTCACTGCAACAACTCTTTAACATTATTTCTTCACCATCAAATTTTCCCTACCTTGAAGGAGTTGAAGCAGGCTTTGAATATGCTAAAAAACTAAGCATGGAGGTGGTCAGATGACCCTGTACTATAACACAATAGAGGGTTTCAAAGTAGCTAAGGTACTGCATTCTGTGCTAACAATTTGTCAATCGTTAGGCAATTATCGAACAGACACCTCGAAGGAAATTATAAAATTCTATTTCTTTTTTGAAACAACATAAAGTGGAAGAAATGGCGCTTACTTTTACTGACGATACTGATTTACTTAATGACTTCCATACGGGAGTTTCCTGCTTACATGGGTAAGGATATTGTATTAGAGCAGCAAAGAGATTTTACCCTATGTTGGCGGGGGAGAGTGCTAGTCTCTGTGCCGAACAACAATAGAACATGAAGGCATGGACACAATCTAAAGAGATTGCTCACTGGAAGAAATGCTACTTTACCTTTTCTTGACAAAAATGTCAAACAAACGAGCAGCGACGTTACTTGCGACTAGTTCGCTGGTATTTTGCGTCACCAGCCTTAACACCAATGTTGTGTCGCCGGCGAACTGCTCAACAAACAGCTGTGTGTAATGGCTTGTCATTTTTTCTTGCGGCTGCTAAAAATCAGCTAACAGGGAGTAAAGTTAAATGTCCTCTACACATAGGCTATGTGCAATCTAACTTGTGCCAAACTAACACCAAGTCTGACGAGTCCAATTAGAAATCGATAAGCTGAAGTGATCGAGTTGAGTACATAGAGCCAGTAAAGAAAATTGATAGCTGTGAGGATTATTACGATAAGCAGCCACCACCACAGAGCAATGTATATCTTCTCGTTGAACATATTCGCCATCAGGACGCACTGGATAGTATGGCGGTGTACGTTGCCCATAACACGAATCTGAATTCCTCAACCTCATCATTCTCTTTCCTCTGCTGAGCCTTGTACTCTCCATGTAAGAAGACGAACCTTAAAGTCACACATGGTAACTCTCGGGAAAAGACCGGTACTCTGCCAAGTTCGGTGTTTTACCAATGCCTTTGTCAAGTCGTATCCATTTCCGCCCAAGCAGAGTGACACCAACCAAAACTGGAATCAAGTAAATTTGCAGACTGAAATAGAGCAGAATGACTGAAATTCTCTGCGTTCTCACCTGAATCGTTGCATTTATTACGAATAACATTTTAGTTATCAGATAGATTGTGCTGAGATAGGACTGTGTGAAAATCCTGAAATTTATTTATATGAATGACAGAAATTCGCTTCACAGCATGCGACTGACTACGCATGCAGTCCTCGACTGCGAGCCTGACAAGTTAACTGCACGTCATGTAGTGCCACTCGAAACTGATGTGCTGCACGGTACCTTGTAAAGATGACAAACAAACTACTGTTCTGAAATATTTCTTGCAAATGCTTGGTGCATTTATCAGCGTGATAAATATGACTGGCGATAGCGTCAACGATATCACGCGCTTCTTCACTACAAGGATCCATTTGGCGTACACTGTCCGTCATTGATATCACTGCACGCGTCTGCACGTCTGCAACATTTAAAGAGACCCATCTCTTCCACTTGACCATCTGAATGAAATGAAAAGATGGGAAGACTTTTTGTTTCCATCTGAGGAATGGGATTACAATTATCTCATGAAAATTTTGATAAAAACGAACTTGAAGTCCAGTTGAGCATTCTCCAGAAGACGTGAGGTATTACGAATAACATTGCTTGCAGCATCAGCGTGAATGGTACCCACTAAAGCAGTTCACAGCTTAAGTCATGTCTACATCACAACAGATCACTGAGGAGTTAAAACGCTATTACTTGATAATAAGTGATAAGTTTCTCGTCACGGTGTTTCTCGCTTTGCGGCATATTTTGTTCCAATGGAATGTAGTAGGTATTCTCGACGAAACAGTAGTCCTCCGCATATTGTTCCCATGATTTTTGAGAAGCTAATTCGGCAGGGAGCCAACATTGGATCGGGTCACCGCCATATTCCTCCAAAAACAATTCCTTTAAGCTATCAAAGTCTAGCAAATCCTGAACTTTTAATATTCAAATACCATGAAGTTTAATTGTCTTTATACCAAATTAACTGCATTTATTCCACATCAGCTCAATTCAATTGATTTGAATTCAAGTAAATCATATCCAAAATTCCATTCGGTACTGTCCTCCTCAATGTTTCACTAATCTTCCATAACCTACACAACTAACAGTCCTGCACTCATGAATCAGATTCCGATCCGATCCACGTGAATCAGATTCTTTCTCTGATTCGAACACAAACCACCAAATCTTAGTTACCTTTCAAACAAACTGAACAATATTCCGATATCCCATAGGATATTTCTCTGTAAAAAGTAAGTGATGGATGACGTGAAATGACCCTAACTTTCTTCATGCCTTGAAAAAAGCTGACGCTTTTCACCAATCTCTCCCATTTTTTTCCCAGTAAATTTAACCTTTGTCCTCTGATTGGGATATGTTAAAAGCGATTTTGCTGTTATTGTAGTTAGCAAAAGCATAGCTGAATGGAAGAGAGTGAGATGGTAAGGAGGGTGGATGGGTGCGTGGAGAAGAGAGGAAGTGAAAGTAAACGAAGTAACAGCGTAAGCAAGCAGTGCTGCAGCATTCGCAGACATCACCTCTTCGTACCATCCGCTTCATCTCATCTGTAGTTTTGTGTATGCTATCATCTCATCATATCACACACCACCGGTCACCCAACGGAGTGTGTGGCACTGTCACAGGGACTTCCTTAACTTCTTCTTATCAGTCCCCATTCAAACGATTATTTCAAATCTTCATCTGTTCACACTATAATTGTCATACTAAACTATTCAAATTGAAACTTTCAAG